GAACATGTGCACAGCGTTAAACCGTTTCAGCTTAGACCTGTTTTATCTTTTGGTGAAGAGGGTTCGTCGGTTGGAAAGTTTTCTTGTCCCTGGGGGGTTGCAGTGAACGCTAACGACGAGATCGCTGTAACTGATCAATTCAACAACAGGGTTCAAATTTTCAGTAGTGAAGGAAAGTTTTTAGGATCATTTGGTAAGAAGGGTGACATGGTGGGAGAATTCAACAATCCTCGGGGAATAACATTTCATAATAATGGCAATATTTTTGTTACAGACTGTTACAATCATAGAATTCAGATTTTTAGCGGTGAGGGTGAGTTCGTGGGAAGTTTTGGTGGGAAAGGAGACCTTGATAGACAACTTGATTATCCCTCGGGTCTGTCTGTAGACAGTGAGGGAAATATCGTTGTTGCAGACGTAGGTAACAAACTGATTAAGATCTTTTCTCCTGAAGGCAAGTTTCTAAGAAAGATAGGTGGGCAGGGGTCTTTTACCTATCCTATGCACTGTATTCAATATCATAGATATCTCATAGTGTCAGACAATAGTGATCATTGTATCAAAGTTTTTGACAGGAATGGAAAGTTTCAGTACAAGTTTGGAAAGCAGGGAGGAAGGGATGGGGAGTTTAATTATCCAAGATGTTTGTCATTGAACAATTCAGGACAACTTATGGTCTGTGACTCAGGCAATCGTAGAATACAAGTCTTTGAACTGAATGGAAAGTTTATTGGTAAGTTTGGAACTCAAAATAAAAATTTAGGAGAATTCAGATATCCAAGAGCAGTAGCTGTTCTCAGTACAGGGAGATTTGTTGTTGCTCATCGTGAACGTTACCATCGTATTCAGATAATTGAGTAGTGCTCGTTCGCTCTGGTGAACTGTTTGGCTTATTTTGAACAGAGTGAGATTGACAACCGCTTTCTACATAAATCAATTGAGTTTTATATGAAATTAACAAATGAATAGAAGTAAAGTGAAAGGGAAGAAATGAAAAGAAACTCTTTAGAGCACTTATTCGTTAGCTTTTGGCAGAGTGGTAGGACTGAAAAAAAGTTAATCCAATCCAATATGTACACCTGTGAAGCATTCTGATGGAAGCATATTGCTACTGAGAATGTTATGTTTACAGAACTTTTAATATACATTTGGTATTCATTATTTTAACAAACAAAAGGTTGTGGTTATTCATTATGATTTGGTTCATGTACAATTATAACAAAAAAAAAATTACAGTCACTTTTGATCAAAACCTTTTTCAGTTTTTTAGGTGGAATAAAAAAAAAGCTGTAGGAAAGTTGTTAGTGAATGTTTTTAGATAAAATTTAAAAAATAATTTAAGTTGTAGAAACTTAAGGTTCTTTCAAAGAACTCTAAACACTTTTAAATGGTGTTTTTTGCAAGTGCCTTGAGATCTTAGAAATAGCAAGGGGACTAAGATTTCTGTATATAGTAAGTATTTTAGGTGAAGAGAATTCTTGAATAAGAGATTCAGGTGTTGACTGAATCAAACTGATATGTTTCAGTCAAACACAGAAAAAATATTGAACTTGATAAACCAACGGCTGTATCAGTATTTGAAGAGCGGCCAAGTCATTGTGGTTAATTTTGTATATAAATAGTTCAGAGAACATGGGGATGGCTTTCAATTTTTCAGCCAAAAACAGAACCTTGTCTGCAAACATTATTGGTAACTATCAGCTGAAAAATATATTTTAAAAAATAACTTAAGAAAGGATTAACCTGCCATTTCAAAATGGAAGTCATTATCATTATTTTGTACTTTGAAAAGCAGAATTCTTAGGATTGAAAATATTTGTAGGAGTTTATTTGTTAATGATCTCAGAACCCACATAATGCTTACCTTCATATATAAAACTGAAATGAGGGGCTTGGCAATTGGAGGTCTGGGCATAAGACTGTTTCAAATACAGTGGATTAATTTGAATTTATCTAGTTTTATAATAAATAAGAAGCTCTGCACACCTAAATAAGTTACATTGATTAACAAATTGAACTGACTCTGTATATTGAATATCATATCATCCAAAAAAATAAAGTGTCACTGAACTGTTTGACCTTTTGTATTTAATGAAGTTTTCATCATCATTATCATTGCTGGTATTACTTTATTATTATTATCTATTTAAATTTCATGAGTGACCAAGACAGATTTTCCCCTTACAAGACCAATACAATATCAAGCAAACAAGTGATAAGAAAAAAGAAAAACATAAATTTGGGGATTATTAACTGATCCAAAACCAAATTCTCCAAACTAACACCATACGAATTGTACTGCAAACAGTAAGGAAAATGAGTAATAAGATCTTGGGAGTGAAAGGGTTTAAGAGGCATAAAATTGGCAACTTTCACTCCCAGTTAATATAATTTATTTGAAAAACATAGTATAACAAAACTAAAACGATATTGCAATACTTCCCTCACTAAATTAAATACCACTCTATATTTTCAAAATGTACCGGTACTTACTTTTGGCTTTTCCTTATCTTCCTCCTCCTCATTTTCCTCTTCAATAACAACTCCAAGATCAAGTTCTGGTGGAATTCCATAATACAACTTGCTTTTGTTGGCTACAGTGAGAAAACAAGCATTTTCAAAGTTTTATGAAGGAATATTTTCCACTTCCAAGGATAACTGGCTCTTCTGCATTGTTACCTGGGCTTGAAAACTACATTGTACCCTTCCACTTGTCTCT